GTAGAGCACTTGCCTAGCATGTGTGAGACCCTGGGTTCACTCTTCAGTTCTGTGGGGGAAAAAACCAAAACAATGGAAAATTTCCTGTCTCCATGGAAATTACATCCTAAAGGAGAGAGAGTGGCAGTGTATATAAACAAGTATCAGATATTACAGAGCTGAGAAGCAAATGCAACTGGCTAGTGACAAGGGAAGTCCAGACATGGTGGTGAAGAAAGCTCCTCTGTGGGACTGACAATTAAGATGAGATCCCAGCGGTGAAAAGTACGGGTAAAGACCTAGGGGGCCCTGGTAGCATCACCACAAAGCCCATGGGATGCAGGCGAACTTTATGCCTAAGGAACCTCAAGAAGAGTGTGTGTCAGAGAGAGGAAGAAGAGATGAGCTCAGAGGGGGAGGCAGGAGTTGAATTAAGAGTAACTTGCAGGTTAGAGAAAGAAGTCTGCATTTTATTCCAAGCGTCATGAGAACCTATTGGCATGCTTTAAAGGAGAGTGATGTGATCTGATGTATATTTTTAAAAACAACAGATGGAAAATGGGGCAAAAATGAAAGCGAGACACCAGTCAGGAAGCTCTGCAGCAATGAGAGACAGGGGTGAGCTAAACTGGGGCTGGAAGAAAGGGGCTTGATACTGAGGTAAATCTTTTACAGTCACATCTTTAGTAGAAGCAGCTGAAGGGATGTATTTTCTTCCTCCACCAAATCTTTCACAAAGGAAAAAAGTGCGCAGATGTAGATAAATAGATACCTATATTCCACAATTTATAAATATACATATTTGGGAAAAATGAAAGGAAAAGAGGAAAAAATAAGCTAGTTTATAAGTGAATAACTGGGACATTTTATGAATTAACACTATTTCTTATAATAGACATGTTTTGTAACTATGTTTTTATTTTATTTATTTATTTATTTATTTATTTTGGTCTTTTTGAGACAGGGTCTTGCTATGCAGTTCAGGCTGGCCTTGTGCTCACTTTGTAACCCAGGCTGGTCTCGAACTTGCAATGATCCGCCTGCCTCAGCCTCCTGAGTGCTGGGATTACAGGCATGTGCCACCACACCTGGAGAAAGGAAAAATTATGTTTTACTGGCTCTGTAGTTAACATAAGCCTTGGGGTTAGAGGTTACATTTCCTAAAAGGCTAGAACTCTTCAGTAAAAAAATTTTATTTACCAGAATACTTAATTTTTTAAACCACTTAAATGAACCATTTAAGTTATCATGAAATTTTTTTTGACCTATTGAATAATCATTAACTTTTCTCAATGGTTGTTATAGGAAACACATAATGATAGACATGCTATCCGTTTATGAAATAGGATAGGAACAATACAAACATTGCAGAGTTATGGATAGATTAGTAGGAAAATATCAATGGCTGCTGTAATACATGGTGGTATCTTCAAAGTGGTTTCTCAGGAAGACAGAGATACGCC